AGGAACATGACGACTTTACTAAATGCTCAAAAATTCCTCCTACCCAGCCATCCTCAAATAACAATCTGAAGGGGAAAAAAAAAAAATCCAACCACAGTAGGACTACAGGTCCTCCTTTAATTACAGGTCTCTGCAAAGAGACCTGTAATAATACCTCCCATAATTTTTATAAGCATTCAAATGAAAGAAGAGCTTAGTGATTATCTTTTAAAAGCAGTGCAGGGAAAAGGGGGAGGGGAGAAGAAAGAAGCCTTGCAGAAATTTGCTAGCAAATAAACAGGAAGATGCACATTTGAAAGTTTAAATGAGGACTCTCTAAAGAATTGAATGCAGCTGTGCATAAAGCAACAGCAAAACTGAAGAGACACAACTGAACTTCTTCAACGCAAGAATTTCCGATTACTTAATATTCCTCCAAGAAACTTAAAATTTTAATAGGCCCACAAAGGCTTAAAAAATGCATTGGAGAACTACAAATCTTAAATTTTATGACAACTTTGGAACACAAGCTGTTCTTATATAAATCCACTAAGTGGTTACAAGAGAGACATTTTGAGAACTACTTTAAAATGAGATTCTCTCCTCACTTCCTGAAGTGGAAAATTCACTATTATCTCTGCAAACACCTTCTGTTTTTAAACCTGACTAATAGTTTCTACAAGTCTACTAGGACTACAAAGCAACTGTGAGGCAACATGCATTTCTACAGAAAATTATCCTGTATTATTTAAGATTTGTCAGTTAAAAACAGAAAGCAAGTTAGAAGTGCTTCTCTGTAGAGCTAAACTTGGATCAAACAACATTTTTCTTTTTTCTAAGGGAACCTAAAGTATATACACTAGTGTTTCATTTTTTAAAATTTGACTTGCTGGGTTCATGCTTTGCTCACTTTGGCAACTTGAGGAAATAACTTGGCTGTTATTTGTACAAATCTTTGTAGGAATTTAAGTTATTCTTCTCAAACATCCACAGATAAAATTCAGCTGGACAGAACTGAAGTGTCAAAAATGAAACAGAACAGAAGATATCCAAAAAGATTAGAAATATGACAGAAAAATACTTAAGGTTCCTTTTGAAAAATACAAGTTATGACATCACTTCTAAATGTTTCTGTACACCAAAGTAGTCAGACTGACAGCAACAGCCACATCTAAGATCTGTTTCAAGGACCATGGTGATGAGAAGCACCTTCCCGTTACTTCAGACTTCTACTGTCTATACTAGAAAAGCGTCCACTTCCTGCTAATAAGGAAAAAGCCATACCCTCACATTGTAGTTCTCTGCAACTTATTTTAATACACAAAATTACTGGAGCTATTCCAAATGCCATCCATTCATACAGTAGTGAAGTGAGCAGGGAAGCTATGATAATTACGATAATCACATTAGATACCACAGGAGAGAACATAAAAATAATAACTATTCAAAATGGTTATTTAAAAAAAAAGGATACACAAACAGCCTACACATTCATTTAAATTATACAGGAGTATTCCATGTAACCAGGTCAAAAAACTCCTATATAGTCAGTAAATGGATATTGTTAAACCTGCTTGATAGTTGAAAATCTTTCAAATTGAAACAGAAACTAGACAATGAAAAAGAACTTATGACTTCTAAGAAATGCAAACTGTAGATATGTTCATGCGTTTGGAGACACCTTTATAAACCAAGTAGAAGAAACCAGAATTCTAGGTTTTTTCCTACAGATAAATTAAAAAAGTAGAAGTGATTTTACCCCTGAGTTTCATCCCGTTTAATCCACCACAAATACCATCATATCCATAAATATGAGTAAATAAGCAGCGGTGCTTCATTCCTATTTTCCCTCAAAATAGGAGAGCCCAATAATGCACATACAGATAATTCATTACATGTCCAGCTTTGCCTCTTACATGTTCTGCTTCTAAACATTTCAAGCAGACCCAGACCCTTCCCTCCTCCCACAATTACCTTGCAGTTATTACTTCCCATCTAGACAGGATGAAAAAGGAATACTTTGGGAGGAGGAAAAGACAGACGACTGGTTTCTCTGTCATCCCATTGCAGAAAGTGCACAGACAGCAGTGTGGAAAGCCTGTGTGGTTGGAGTATGTCTAGTATGCACAGAAACCTAGTACAAAATAACAAAAATGTTGGGAGTTCAGTTTTCCAAACAACATTTTGCTAGAAGTTTATAGCTTGACCAAATTTAGGTCAAAATCAGCAAAAGGCAACTCCATATTGCTTTAAAATCTGTTTAAAATCAGAAAAAGGAAAAATATTTTTTTTTTTTCTTCTAAACCTCTTTTCTTAACCTTTCTAAATTTACATGAAAAGCTTACCAAAAACAATTCAACTGGCATTAAGGTCACCTTCACCCTAAATTTTGGCACAACTACAAATAACTGGAAAGACATTTTCATAAGGCTTATACAGCCCTATTAACAGGCCAAGGTACAAGTACCGCATATAGAATCACAGAATCATTAAGGTTGGAAAAGACCTCTAAGATCATCAAGCCCAGCCGTCAGGATAAGGATGTTTTAGTCTCACTAAGGGACAGCTGGACTTTCATACTACCTAGAAAGAGAGAGCGAATTTCATACAAATGAGATAACACATCTTCAAATAGATCTCTTCTATCATGAGACCGTGATCCCTTTAAACAGAGACAGAATAATGGTACTGTGATACGGAGACAAATCAAGCATGAGGAAGACAGATTTATCTTAATTTAACCTGAATGTACATTTCCTGATGTTTACATTTTTCTATGAAACTTAACACTTCTATTAGCATTAAATAATTGTATAATAAATAAATCAGTAAAAATAGGATTTCTAAAGTTCTATAATTTGTCAGTTCCTATTTTGTTCGTTACTTACTATGTCTGGAGAAAAAGCAATGTTTCTAAAACTAGACAGCAATAAAGATTCGCAGGCCTGATGTAAGTTTCTACACTTCTACGCGATATAACCTTACAAATCAGGTATTTAAATGTTTGGGACTATAACTGGTTTCTATCACAACACTTGGTTTTCCAGTCTTCTCACTGTCTCAAAATGTTTTCTATGTAAATCAGATTAGGTTTAAAGGTAGGTCATCTTTTTACATTTAAGACATAGGGATTACAGAACTAAAAATTTATTCTAAACAGACAAATACTCTGGAGAGCTAATGGAAGCTATTAAGCACTTGATGTTTTTCAAGTTATCTAAAGTGTTCATGAGAACATTTTGGGAATGGATAGTTGAGGTGAGCAGTTTATATTAATAACAAACAAAAACTATGGCATAAGGCAGTATATTCTGCTATTTGTCATATATGTTAAGTAAACATCTCTTGAAATAAGCACAAAGTAAGATTTTTTTAATCCTATGATAAGCTTTAATATTAACCCTTTTTGTTCTAATGCCCCACAAAACCTGAAGTTTAAAGTGGGAAGGTTGCCGCTAATGTTCCCATTCCACTTTTTTTTCTAAAACGGCTCACTGGGTTTTAAGCTGTATCTTCACATGCGTACAACATACTAAAAATCAATTCAAAATTGAAAGTTTCTGCAAAAAAACATGAAAACAGGCTGAAAGAAAGCTTTTAAATAGAAACACACAGTACAAGTAAAAAAAGCTGACAACAAATTGATATAAAAAAAATCAGTATTTATGTAAAAAAATAATGCATTGCATATTGTAAAATCAGTCAATAACAGTTTTCACCTTCACACAGATTTCCAGATTTTCAGACTTCAAAAGGTTACACAGCTAGAAAAAGACTGTAACTACATGCGAGGCAGACTGGTTCCTAGTTTCCATCCCAGAAATTTACACCCTGAGCCAGCAGGGAGATTAGGAGCAGAATAGAAACTCTGCTTACAATGGAGTGTGTTTTTCTACTGCTATAGCATTCATCCAGCTCACATGGATCCAGGAGTCAGCGCCAGCCTGCCTTGCACAAAGAAACAGCCACAAAAATGAAGCTTCTAAAATGGGGTTGGGATGAAGGTGCAAATCAGTGAGTGGATCCCCCATGTTCAACACACAGGAACTTTTCTGGAATCCAAAAACTCACTTAATGAAGACTTCATCTCAGTTAAGACAGGTTAGCCAAGGTCAAATATACTTTACAAATATATTTCATACCATGCAAGTTTAAATAATATTTTACTGTAACACTAGAACTCAGCCTTTTTCTTCATGTTTTTCTCTGGAAAAAAAGTTTGTATTACATAAACAGAACGTTGGGTTTTTTTTTCACTAAGATAACTAAAGAAAGCCTAATCCTTACCTGTTGTAAATCACTATCACCCTATTGACAGTAACGCATTCCTGTAGTTGAGGGTCTGCCCCCAAACTGTTTTAAAGCCATGTTATGAAAAAAAATATGGTAACAGGATATATTCTCTAAGAAACCCATCTAATATACAGTCTGATGAAGCATCATAACTCATTACAGCTCTTCACCTTTAGGTACTAAATACTCTATAATAATCATCAGGTAATAATTCTTAGTAAGGAAATACAACAGTAACAGTTTTCCACTTTTTTTTTTTTTTAGTTCCAAAATGCCCTATAAAGCTGCAAAACCATGGAATTTTTAAAAAGTATTACAAAACAGAAAACTTCAAACTGAATTTTTGCTAAAAACCCCTCAACTCTGCTCTACCTTTTGGCCATGATGGCTCAACGATGTTGAAACAAATGCTGTACATTAAAAACTCTCTGTATCTACAGAGAAAACTAGTATCATATACTAGTTATTCATTTCTCAGAAAATCCCATTTATAGCGTGCAGTTTACATCTAAGATAAGCAAAACAGATTGTCAAAACAGTACTTCAACATGTAAGAGATGAACATATAAAGGCACATACAGATTGTCAATGATTATATCACATTTCTTTGAAAACAGAGTATTTTCTGCACTTGTAAACAACTTTGTTTACATAAAGGCTTTACACCTTTAAAGTGAGGTTAGTGCTGCTGACTCAGTTATTGCTACATTCACAGTTTAACAGAATTTTAGACAACATATGAGGTACAATCCCAAATAGAGCCATCTTCATTTCTTCCTTGTTCATTTGATCATTAGATAACTGAATTATGCTGATTAAACCACAGAAGCCAGTAACACCCAAATCATCGGATCCAAGATAAACATTAGCAGTGATTAAACTTCAAAAGAACAAAAAGTCACCTTTGCAGAAAAAAGTTCCTGTTCTTCATTACATGAATATTTTCTTCATTTTTATGTATGCTAGTAAACTTTTATCTAGGCACATTAAGAGCAGATTCAAGCCATATTAGATTTTTTGCACGTTTTGACCAGTATGTTAATTCAGTCTCTTGATTTAACAGCTTGGAGTAAAAATCACCTTCCTTTTGATCTTCTGGCATACAAGTCTCTTATGCTTTTTGTTAGCTGCTTTACAAACACTTTGTATACTCTTCCACAGTATGTATGCATGGTTTTCTGTAATTCCAGTTCTAGGGGCTGCAACAGGGAATGAAAGAGGTCATCTCCAAATGAATACTGTAAAGAGGTTAAGAAAAGAAGATTTAAGGTCAGTATGAAAAAGTGTCACTATTCAGAGTCATTAAAGAGTTTTATAAAAATGCCTTTGAACATCTTGCTTTCTACAGGTTTATTACATATTTTTAAGAACTCAGAGAGCTTCTGAATATGGTATTTGAAAAAACCTCTAAATTACAGAAACATTCTCTAATGCTTTCAATAAGCCCAACAAACAATATTAAAAAAAAAAGCAAGCAAATGAACATATCCAGACAGACAAGGAGGAAATTTTAAATTACCTTATTAAATTAAAAATTTACAGACCTAAAATTATTTCTAGTTATTTGTTTGCTGAATAGTAACTTTCTTGAATGACATATAACTTAAGGAATACAATTCTTATCAAATTATAATGAAACACCAGTATGCAAAGTGGTACCGATGGAGTTTCATTAAACTGAATGATGGTCAAATGTTTAACATGGACATGAAATAAAGAAATCATTAATTCAACAGTGCAATATTTTTTTATAAACAAATGATAAGCTAAAACAGCATCTCAAAGTAACATAATTTTGTTCATCGTATTACTACTGAATCAGCAGTGTTTTACATACTTTCTCTGACACATTCATAAACCAAATGGGATCATAAATAAAAAGAAATAATTTTTTCTTCTGTTTTTGACAATGCTCAAAGGAAACAAAGAAATCATATTTTTATGGAAACACATTCACTTTCCCTGCAATGTATTCTCAGACCCCCAAAAGTACTTTTCTTCATTTTTATATCCATATGACAACATGTAATAAAGCACTATTAAAATATACTATTGATTTTTGAAGGTTATACACACACAATAGTCTGCTACATTAAAATGTGCATCAGTGCTAAATTTTACAGCTCTTCAGTGAGTATACTGATGTAGTGATAAATAGTTTATTAGATGACTTATTTGCAGAATGAAAAGAAGTCACTGTGCTCAGTTTTTAAAGGAACAGCAACATATTCTGAATGTCTAGAAAAGGCCAAATCACAGTATAAAAATATATATATATATGTATTTTTTCTACAATCCAAATCTAGCTACAATTAAATGTTAAATGTTAAAATGTTGCAGTAAATACACACAAACTTTAGGAAGAAGAAGGGTTTTCTCCAGAAAAATGAAGCTTCTGGTGATCTATAAATGCACATACAGTTTACCAGATGTATTTATTAAAGGAATGGGAATAAAGTCTTTTAAAATAAAGATTGACAACTACAGGGAATGTTTTAGAATTCTAACCTAGACATAGTCTACACAACATTTCAAAAGATGCTTGTCACAAAAGGAATACACTGGAATTCTTATCCAAGCAGTAACAAGAAACTGGTGAAACACTTAACATTACTTAAAAAGAGAAAAAAAATTAGTTTGTTGCAGTCAAGGTAAGTATCAACAAAACCTACAAAATACATGCAGCAGTGTAGATAAAAACACATTAAAAAAACCCCAACTTTGCACAAGTACAATGCTGAAAACACTTACATTTTTTATTGCATCATAGACAGCCCTAAAAGTTGGTTGTTTATCATCGTGGTAAACACCTCTGTTTCCATGAAGAATAAATATACCTTCTTCTTCAGCTTCCTTACAATTGCTTCCATAGATGCAGTGGTCAGGTCGATAATTCCATTGGCAAGGAAAGACATAAAGACTTTCTGTGCAGAAAAATGAGAACTCTGGATTAAGTATCAAAACTGTTTCAGGAAATACATTAATCTTCTCTCTTTTTTTTTTTCTCTTAAGGCTATTTCTGTACAGTTGTTTTGAAACCTAGCAGCTAATTACATTGTAGCAAGCTCCAATGCTGACTCTCAAACTAAACAGTTTCAGGAAACAAAAGTAGTGAAAAGTCCCTTTAATGCTTTCATTGAAAAGTTTGCTAAGAGACTATTTTCCCGGATTTTTGAACATCATAGAAAAGATCAACTTTGTCATGTTAGACTTAGAATCAATGTGGATTTACCTGGATTGTGAAAAAACATAATGTTCAATAGATCCTGATCACCCCATGTTATGTTCAACTTGTACTTCTTCAGCAGTGGCATAAGAATTTCTCCCCACTGTAACCGGACTGGTGTCATATCATTCTGTTCAACAAAACAAAGCAAAATAATGCACGTTCAGGATAATTACACCTATGTATCTCAAATATATAGAAGATCTCTTCCCATTAAACAAAGGAGCACATCTAAGGAAAATAGTTAGACATTTCCAATACGCTTTACTTCTCAATTATCTTACAATAACAAAAATTGCATACATCTCCTCCTTCCATTTAACTGCCGCATTAAATTTTTGTCTTTGAGATTTCCCTCAAATATCTTAAAACAAGAAACAGCAAGGTTTTTTACACAGCAGTAGGATCTGACACAAACTGCATTTAAGTGGCACATGCAAGTAGATGGGCGCTATTTAAATATCCACACTTCATGCAATTTCTGTCTTTATTGGAGTGATAATATACACACATTTTGAAGTTAACTTCAAAAATTCAAAACAGATCAATATAAAATTAATTATGAAATAGTTCCAAACATGTACAGATAAAAAAATATTGGCTACAAAGCAGTGTAGAAAAATATAGAGATCTTTCAAAGGTTTTCAAAAGAATTTTATTGAGTTAAACTGATTTTTTTTTAGTTATTGAACTTGAACTTGCTCAGCAAAGGCACCACTTCTCACTAGCAAAAGGCAGTAAGACTCTAAACTAATAGCTGTTACTTAATTCCCAAATTGTTGATTTAGCAAAATCACTGCAAAGGAAAAGGAGGAGTTCTTCTAAAGGTTTGGCTGAGGAGGTGCTACTTGGAGCAAGCTGGCCTACACTAAATTCCACGTTACCAAAGGGGTTACCATCTGCAGTGTAACAGGTTACATATTCTAAAGCTGATTTCTTATCTTTACACCACATTTAAGCTTAACTAGAACAGAAAAGGAATAAGGCTGCTCACTCTGTACCTTCTACTTCACTTGGGAGAGTGAGGATGGACTAACAGAAGTCCCAAAGAGAGAAAATTCCTGAACAAGTACAGGATTGTACCCTTGATTCCTTTTAGCCAAGTTGCCGAAAAGAAAATTAAATTAGAACTCCAGTGATTTGGGATCTGTATACAGAAACACCATCTTAAGAAACACAAAAAATTACCAGGAGCAAAATATTCGGGTTTAGAACTATAGTATCAAAGACTTTCTTCTCTGAGCTTTCCACTGACAAACTAGAGAGTGCAAAAAAAAGTGCAGTTCAGTTTTTAGTCTTTCCTCAAATCATTTCAGCTATCAAAAATGAAGGGCTTTCAGAACTGATGACTAAAAAAAGAAATACTATCAGATTTCAGACAAGCATTAATACAAAAAAGATCTATAGCTTATATTATGTAAGAAGCCAAACAGAATATCACAGTCCCTTCTGTCCTAAAAAATTTATGACTGTGATTGCTTGCAAGTATTTGATGAAAGCAGGCATAAGAAATGCACAAGAGAATTCTTCTCTAGCAAGAATTATCATTAGACTCAGCGCAATGTGATTAAACAAAGAAAACAGGCTTAACACCAAGATAAAACCTTTCAAAAAGCAAACCAATTGGACTGAATCACAGTGGGTAAAGATTACTCCCTCACCTGAACTTTGCCATCCATAGAATACTGACCTAAGGTTTAAATTTAGTCTCAGTACTAAGAATTAAAACCAGAATTAAATTAGCTCACGGATACCAGGATAATCATGATAAGAGAATACACAGTAGTAAATAAAGTTTTAGAGTAACACACAGAAATATTACTTTAAATTGTTAAAGTCATTATTTCATAGAATTTTCATCTAACTTGTACAGTTTAAATAGCAGTGAAATCCAGAGTATATCCCAAGGAGATGCAAAGCAGGTAACAGCATACATCACATTGCCAGATGTCTAGAAGCAATACTATTTGACAAACAGTGCTATCAGATTTAAGAACTGGAAACTAATATTTCAATAACCTTTGCATAAATAGAAAATTTATATATTAATTTATTAACACCGATGTATAATGAAACCAGTGTAGGAATCACAGAGCAAGAGAAACTATCTGAACGGTTATACAACCTCCTCCCTTAAAATTCTACTGTAACTTCTAGTGAGGTCAAACAGTGTGAGAAGTAGAATGCTCAAGTTCAATCAAAACTGATGACAGAATTGCTTTTTCAAAAGTACTCAAGTAAATATGAGAAAAGTACCTCTATCATAACTTAAGGATTTCCAGAATATAAACCTGCTCTCCAATATTCAACAAGTTGCAAAGAAGATTAAAGAGGTTTAAGAAAAAAACCCCACAATGGTAGTGGGCATTTCTGTGACGCCATCAAGCTGATACAGAGAGGCTCTTCGGAACCCTCAAAATTCCAGGGGTTTTTTGAGGAGAAGAAAGTATGTAAGAACAAAATAGACATAAGAACATTAAGAAATCTTCTAAATGTGTTTTTTGGTGGTTTTTTTGTTTTATTTTTTAAATGCTGTGCTTTAATTAGTTTGGTCATTATTGATTTCTGTCCCAGAAGACTTCTGTCTGGCCAAGTCAGACTTACAAGAGCCTTCACATTTAGCCTGTAGCAACCTAGCATTACCTCTCTCAATTCTAGTAGGAAAATATAAAGTTGAGGAAAAATATTAAAATTATACAGCAATACTTCAAGAAACCACAGCTGTGTCCCACAGTTGACCGATTATAAATTTCCTTAATGCCTTAAGAGCAAGTCCTCTTCCTTCTGGTTATGTGACTCTATCCTGTTCTGGCATTAACAGTGTAATGCTAAGACTTACTCAGTGTTTCTGTGAGCTGATTTACTTCACCAACCCAGAAAGATTTCTTTTTTCTATTTAATTGAATCATAGAAAGGACTAACAAACACTAGAGGCCAGGGTGAAATAAACAAGAAAAGCAGGAAAATTAGCTTTTGCACAGGCTCACCCTGTTTCTTGGAACTTGTAGTGGGGCAGCTATCCAGAGGCGGCTGCTGCAAGAAGCTGCTAGAAGCTTCCCCCACGTCTGACAGAGCCAATGCCAGCCAAAGCTGAGCCCATCAGCCACGCTGGTAGCACCTCTGGGATAACGTATTTAAGACAGGGAAAAAGTTACTGTGCAACACCAAGAGCGATTGTAGCCAGAGAGAAGAGTGAGAATACGTGAGAGGAACAACCCTGCAGACACCAAGGTCAGTGCAGAAGGAGGGGCAGGAGGTGCTCCAGGCACTGGAGCAGAGATCCCCCTGCAGCCCCTGGAGAAGACCATGGTGAGGCAGGCTGTCCCCCTGCAGCGCATGGAGGAGGATGTTGGATCAGATATTCACCTGCAGCCTGTGGAGGACCCCACGCCGGAGCAGGCAGATGCACCTGAAGGAGGCTGTGACCCCATGGGAAGCCCACACTGGAACAGACTCCTGGCAGGACCTGTGGTCCTGTGAAGAGAGGAGCCCACACTGGAGCAGGTTTGCTGGCAGGACTTGTGACCCCGTGGGGGCGCCACACTGGAGCAGTTTGCTCCTGAAGGTCTGCACCCCATGGGAGAGACCCACGCTGGAGCAGTTCACAAAGAACTGCAGCCTGTAGGAAGGACTCACATGGGAGAAATTGGTGGAGGACTGTTTCCCATGGGAAGGACTCCACACTGGAGCAGGGGAGGAGTATGAGGAGTCCACCCTTTGAGGAGGAAGGAGCAAGAGACAATGTGTGATCAACTGACCACAACCCCCATTCCCCGTCCCCCTGTGCCGCTGGCAGGGAGGAGGGAGAGGAAAAAAAAGAAGAGTGAAAGACAAGAGAGAAAAAAAAAGAGAGTGAAGTTGAGCCTGGGAAGAAGGGAGGGGTTTGGGGAAGATGTTTTAAGATTTGGCTTTATTTTTCACTACTCAACTCAGATTTGATTGGTAATAACTTAATTCTCCCAAGTCGAGTCTGGTTTGTCCATGACGGCAACTGGTGAGTGATCTCTCCCTGTCCTTATCTCGACCCACAAGCCTTTCATTGCATTTTCTCTCCCCTGTCTAGCTGAGAAGGGCAGTGACAGAGCGGCTCTGGGGGGCACCTGGCCTCCAGCCTGGGTCAACTGACCACATAACTATAGCCTTAAGCAATAATGAATGGTTAAAAAAAAAAGCATATAATGGCTTAGGTCATAGAAACTCTCTGATCTTTTTTTGTCTAAAGCATACCTGTGAACCTCTCCTTTGCACACACTATCTGGAGTTACTTTGCTTGGGGCTTATTTAATTTTCTAAGAGCTTGTTGCTTTCCATGACTGCCCATGTCTTGGGCATCACGACAACTAATTTTCTTAAATTTCGTAACAGTCATTGTTTTCTATTCACAAAGCCTCACTGGTCTAGGACTTTTTGTTGGAACACCCTATCTGTGGTATTTGCTACATTGCTTTCAGCTTTAAAGTATCTATATCTGTATGTATACAAATATTAAAAAGTCACCTACTATTACCTCTTCCATCTCCTAAATACTCCTGCATGTTTTACATTCCCATTTTCTAACTGCTGCTTAGCAAAGACAACAGGCAAGAAGCTTCATTACCAATTTTAGTCTTACATCCAGTTATGCACTGTTTAATGACCACACTATATTCAAATAACATATATGTGGCATATCTATGTATACATACAGTTCATATATTTGTACTGTATGTACAAAAGAGTCTCAAAACACCCAAGACAAAGAAGATAGTTGGAACCAGGAGTGACAACTTCCATTAGGCACCGTAGATAGCCAAGTAGCTAGGATGCTTGTCTGAAATGAATAGGCTTGACAGTCCTAGGAAGATTAAGACTTGAATAAAAAAGTGGATAAAAGATGACTTAATCCTGGAGCAATACATGGAACTACAGGTTTTCTCCTACCCAGGTGAAGCACTATAACCACTGGCTAAAGTCTCTGGTTCCCCTTTTTATTTATTCATCTTCTGGTTGCTCCTGACTCTTACAAATCAACGTGACAACAGAAGATAGATGCCTAACAGCCTCAAGCAGCTCAGCCTGTAATTCTGGGTTGAAGAAACTACAATAGACAAAGAGCCCACAGTTTTAAATCCATCCTATCGGAGGAATATCCTGATCCAAAACTTCCACTCTTTAGCCAAGAGCTCTAACCACTAGACGGTCATACAAAAAGGTCTACAGACAGCTTTTTAAAGATACAAAAATTCCCAGAACTTATATGCTCCTTGAGGAATTTGTTGAATCCCCTGAATGAATATAAACAAGTTCAGACCTTCCTATAAAACAATGAAGCATCTTCTAGTTCTATGGTATTTGACTGGAAGAGTTAATAGGAGACAACATTGGACAGTATCTGTAAGGTCCAAAAGCATCTGCAGTGTTGCTGGCAAGGGGTATTAGGACAGTCCCTATCCCTGAGTTTTGTTTACCTCTCTTCTAAAGGCTTGAGACCAGTAGCTCCTTTGCTATCAGTCACAAGGGAAGCCACACACTCTCAGGCCTATCATGTATAGTCTCAACTACACTAAATCCTTTTCAAAGTTTTGCTGTGAAGCTTGCAATTTTTTGTATTGACCAATTCTCCTTTTAAGACATTCAAGGAACCTGAAGATGAAAAAAAAGTCTCCACAAACAGAAGAGCTTTTGTAATAAAGCTTGTGATACTCCACAAGCTTGTGGGAGCACACTCTAGGTACTAGGGGAGCAGAAACTAAATGGTTCCCCTTCTGAGCATTCTGTAAGCCAAGATCTCAATAATCAATACTGTATAACAGAAACTCATCTCCTGCTTAGTCATTACGCAGGCTGCACTATCTAGCTATGATATGAGAGGAGAACGAACAAGCGCTATCATTCCTAAGTTTCAGATAACCTAGTAGCTCTCTGATTAGACATCCTCAAACTGTTCTGACTGGGCTGAGCATGCCACCACAAGCCTGATACTAATGGACACTTCTCCAGTGTGTCCAGTAAGTAAGTGGAAGGACTCAGTCAGCAGCATGGGTTAGAAATCATAAGGTAGTTTCCTGTCAAACAATTCTGAGCATTCCAATACCAAAAAGTCTCCACTGATAAGTATGGTGGTCACTGGCAATAAGTTCTAACACAGAGTCTTAGCAAGCCAGTCACACTGGAGAAAGTATCTATCTCTACAAATTCAAAGCTTCAACAAATAACAAACATTACACTTGCCAGAAATGTACAAAGACCGAGGCAAAACACTTGGATGCTCAGCTAGACGCTCTGCATTTCTTGCATAACGGCCTGAAACATACTGGGACAAGGTTTTAAATCAAGAAGGGTATCCAAAGAAGGCATTTCAAAATGCTTCAGCTGAACCAGAAAATCCATATATGTCAAAACACCATGTATCCAAACATTGTATCTGTGTTTCTTGCTCAAGATAATCAGACTAAGACAGGATGTACAGGATGATGAAAGCAGGGTGGAAAAAGGTGTAGGAATGGAAGGAAAAAGAAGAATTTAATGGAAAACAAAAGTTCTCAGCAGCCATGTTAAAAGCTGCACACAAAAAAAACCCCAAACCAACATAATATGGTATACATAATATGCCATCTTTTTTATTTTTTTATTTCTTACTATCAAGCAAGAGTGAAAAACTATTTTTTTATGTGCTCCACTAACTTCAAATGTTTAGGAATAGCCACACTGCGCACACAAGTATTCCTGGACGAGGACGAAGTTTAGAAGACATGAGAAAGCAAGGGCCAGAAGCATATATGAATCAGACACAGAAGGGGAAGTCTAAGTTTGAAGTGACAGTAAAGCCCTGGGAAGGATGCCAAAGAATGATGACTAATGATTAAGGGCAGAAAATGCTGTATTTCTAACATTTTAAATGACTGAAGCGGAGCAGGGGAACGAGTTGATTGCATTTTTTAATTTTTGGTAATTAAAGCCATCAAAAAGAGGTTTGAATCATGTGCCTTGCTACTGGGAAGCTTTGCTCTGTTTCTGCTTCCTTTTCTCAAGTGCCCTTTCATAATTCTCAATATTAGCATACTTACACAGCACTGGGTAGCTCGCTCCCATCTCAGTTCCTTTCCCTTAACTGTATGAATGCTAAGCCTGCAACTCATCAGGCAGGCTTGCTTGGTACAGTAAAGTACAATTTGAGAAAGAGTATTAAGATCAATGTTTTCAGGACAACTTGAGATATTTTTTTTTGGTTCTGATTCCCCATACCAGTTATGACACACAATCTTCCTCACTACAGAAATAAGTTCAGTGGCCCACTTAGCCAGAAACTGTACATCATGTTAGATATACTGAAGTTTGCCAGCAGGATCATGAGAAAAGTGTATTCATTTGTTCCTTGCCTTCAGCTGAGGTCTTACAAATCACAGATATTCGCCCCCATAATAAAAAACAATTATAAAAAAGCACTTCCTCCAAGGCTGGTTTTGGCTTAGCAATCTGACATGTATCATTGCAGAATAAATATACAACACAGAAAAAACAGGAATGTGTAGTAGGTATTTTCAGGGCCTGGAAAACACTTCAGCCCTCTAATACCAAGGGAAAGCGGCAATATTCCATTTTGAATTTCAAAATATTCATGGATGATTTCACCTACTTAAATCTGTATGTATAGACTTAAATTTAAAGAAACAACTGGGTTTAGGTGTTAAGGAGCAAGGCATTTTATATTGTCCTCTAAAAAACTACAGTTAATTTGAAAGACAATTTTAGTTTCCTGCATAATCTGTACAGTTTTGAAAAAGTTAACTCCAATTTTAGTAAAAATGCATTAAGTTTCCGATACATTGATAACCTAAGTTGCACTGAGAAGCCCAACCAGAATTCTGGCACAGTATAAACAAAAGACCAACCTTACTCTCAGAGTTTACCACACTAAAAATACTTCACTACACAGAAATGCATTGTCAGAGGTTAAGATACACACAGTTTTCAGTCCTGTGTTTTTCTTGTTATACTTCTCAATATTTTCATTTCTCCAGATGCTATAATCAGGAAAACAAAGCAGACAATGCAAGATTCCACTGATGATATATACAGGCAAGTTTGCTTCTTGGGAAAACTACAGCTATATACTATAGCTACTGTAACTTTATACTTTAACTACCACCAAGATAATCCACGCTCCATTTTTCTTAAATTCACTGTATTTCCATAACAAAAATACATAGCAAGAATGCAAAGATGAAAGTTAAATCTTTCTTAAATTGGAAATGAGGAAGAAGTAATGTCTACTGTAAGTTTACATTGCTCCTTATGGGTGCACTTCCAATAGCTTTTACTGTACGATTATTTTTCCCTAATCAAACTTCTCTTAAGCAGAGAAGTACTTTTCCCCTAGCATAATCACATAGCACTGCTTTGGTACTTGTGTTTCAAGTGTGTAAGAAAAAAATTCCCATCTGTGAAGCAATGACCATTTCTGATGCTGCACGCACTGCTTTAGTAAGTACCTTCACGATGAACTTATTTCTCTACAAAAAACTATGACTTCAAAGTAAATCAAAAGACACTTAAGGTGATAACCACCTGCTTACAATTTAAAAGATCAAAATTTGGAAACCGTACAGTCAAAATAACTTACTAAATGTTTTAGCACCACCTCCTGGTCATACTACTACACACCTTTTTAAAGTTAGTTTACAGTATACGTAAGCTGTTTTCTGCGATCTCTACAGTGAAGAAAAAAAATACCAGAATATCTACTGACAAATATAATTTACAGCACACTGTATCAAGTCACGGTATCCCTCAGAACTAAGAAAAAATAAAACAATCAAGCAGACTTGAAATTCCGGAATTCCAAGCCTTATGGTGAATCATATTTGAAAGACGCAAGTTCGATGCTATTTTAAACACTGCATATTTTTAAAGCATTATTCAAATTATAAGAAAAATATTTTGAAAAATACTGTCCCACACGAACTTGAAACAGGATTAGAATTAAAAGACATAAATCCCCAGAAAATTCAGTAAAGACAACAGACATACCTTGAAGTACTTTCTTCTGATACGTGTCATATTCATTAACATGACTCCAGAATTTATTCCAGTTACTCCATAATAGGGATGTCTAGCAAAACGATTATACCATCCGATACGAGGCTCTTCATGCTCCGGTGCCATTGCAGCAATTTGTGTGGAGTTGAACTTTCCCAGAAAAGACCAAATATCATCAACAGGTCTCAAAAACAGGATGTCGGTATCAACATACAGTAGTGAATCCACATTTTTGAGGATTAACTGTGAGGGAAAGAAGTTTAAAACCAAATGTTTAAGTTTGATTGAGCTTCTCTTCATAAAACAGAAGTTACCACCATTACACAATAAAGTTTAATATATTTTTGTCGTATGCAAATAAATTCACTTTAGACTGACAGTTTCCCATCAATAAATTTGCCCTCATTTCCTCTTCTCTCATTTTGGAGAATTTTTGTAGAGTGAAACAGAGGTTTTATATAGAATAGTAATGCGAAGGCACACAGTTTCCATTGTATATCCCTGGGCTCCTCAGGATTAGGTTGCAGGTCAGGTGAAACATTACCATAACAGGAGCTCCTACCTTCCTCCTGTTCCCTTGCCTTCCTGTGCATCTAATCAAATGAGGGAGAGGTGTAAGGCAGCCCCAGAAGAAACAGTAGTTGGGAAATAGCTGACACTGCAACAATTCACCTAGCCTGAAGTATGATTTCTGAAGTGTCTTACATCAGCAAAGAAAAGGCTGCAGAAAACAGTCTGGCAACAATTGCCCATTTCTTGCTTCATTTTCTCTAACGCTTCTCAGACCCACGCATGCAGGAAACTTTCCAACTAAAAGAGGAGAGGAGGTGTGACAGATCCTTCTCACCCCTCAGAGGATGATATGACCTGTACGTCTCACTGAGGATACTGTGCCATAATGCAGCAAGTGAGAAAAGGACTTCTATTCCATAGTGTATTAGTGCCACAGAAGAAGGTTAAATTCACAGGGTTTTTTAGGATGTTGTGAAAGTAACTTTTAGGAGTAGTAGTAGTTCTCAACATAAAACTAAGCAGAAATTAGATTAACAAGGACAGCTTGATGCTTCAAAAACACAAGACTTCTGTATTGTCCTATTACAGAATAACTTACCGGCAAGAACAGCCTTTGTGAAGCACATGGTTTAAACAATTTCTTCCATTCTGCTGCACTCTCATTTGGAAATGTTATTGGATATAATGTGTAATTAACTTTTCCTTCATAGGGGAAGTCATCAAGCTATGTGAAAAGAAGAGACCACAAAAATTACTTCAGTTCAATTCTATTAAAAAAAATCAATCCCCCATTCAAATTGATAATTGAACATAACTGCAACACCTCTCTTCCATAACAGAAATGCTTCTTTAACTACAAGAATCTGTCTACTATTCAAAATGCTTGAACAAAAAGTGGCACCTGCAGGCCACGATGAAGAAAGCACATCAGATCAGATCATATTAAAAGAAAAGTAAAATAAACTAGTACTTACAAAAAATAAATACATCAAATAAAAACTTTTTCCCCTCTGAACAAATTTCCACAGGAGAAATAACAATGAAGGCTTCCTCAATTTAAAATAACCTTACCCGATTTTTGCCAGTTACTGTTCATATATTAGTATGTATAATATACTAATGTCATAGTATGACACTTTAAGCACAAAAATAGTAAACCCCTCCATAGCTATATACTAGCCAGCTTCTAAATAAAACCAGTCATAAAGTTGTATTCATTAACATTCATTTACTGAAGTTAGACATAACGCTATCTACCATTTTCAAAGACTGATGTTTTACTTTGTTGAGACAACGCAAGGCTGACTCCTACTGTAAGCACAGGAACAAAAATGGACAGATCTACATTTTCTCTTATAAAACTAACTTTAAATAAGATCACACGAGATAACTGGTTTGTGTTCAGAACATCAGGCTTGTATTTAACAGATTCAGGGTGACAAATCAGGAAGTTTTGGTCTGTCTCTATGAAAAGCTTTGACATCAGCCATTTTTCCACAAGGGGGGGGGGGGGGGA